CAATAATAGTAGTATTATTAATAATAATAATAATAATAATAATAATAATAAAAACAACAACAACGACGACGACGACAACAATAACAACAACAACAACAACAATAATAATAGTAGTAGTAACAACAATAATCATAATCATAATGGACTTCCTGGCACTTCTCTAACTCAAATTAATCACGATTCTTCGCCAAATCTTTCGTCGTCTGGATCATTTAATCAATTTCCGGTAAATCCTCAAGGGAGATCTTCAACGATAACGGCAAATCATGCCGTTGTTGCTTCGACGGCCGTTACCAGTGTTATTAGTGCTACTGCTAATACTGCCAGTGCCAGTGCTAGTTCTACTACTACTACTACTACTACTACTACTACTATAACACCAAGTCTAGGAGAAGCTATAAGTCCAACACCGTCAAATAAAAATAAACCTTACGTATGCCCAGAATGTAATCAAACATTTAGTCGACAACACAATTTAAAGTCACATACTTTGACCCATTCGCAAGAAAAGCCATATCAATGCCCACAATGCAACCATTTTTTCAGACGACAGCATGACTTAAAACGTCATACTAAATTACATACAGGTGAAAAACCATATTCTTGTCAATATTGTAAAAGAAAATTTGCAAGATTGGATGCATTGAATAGACATCTTCGTGCTGAAAGTTTTTGCGGTGGTCCTCAGAAAAAATTATATCAGAATTCAACTGGTAGTGGTGTGGATCAAAATTCGAAAATTGAACTTCAATCATTACAATCTCCTCAACAACAATCAATTCTTGCTGGAAATACCAATACTAATAATACTTCATCGATCGCCACAACACCTCACGTGTTAATTCAATCACAACAGCCAAAATCAACCACATTAACGCCGCCTCAAATGCATTCTATGTCCCCGAAATTGTCACAACAGCAACTTTTGCCACAATCTAATGGAGGCGGTGGCGGCGTTATGATGAAAAGTGAATTGCAACATCATAAACAACTTCCTAGTGCACCTGCCACACCTTTGTCTAATAATAATGAGACGAAATTATTTACACAGAGAGAGCAGCATTTTCAAAATCAACAACAACAGCAGCAGCAGCAGCAGCAACAGCAGCAGCAACAACAACAACAGTGGCAGCAAAAACAAATGAAAATAGAGAACGAATCGACACTAACAGCAACATCGATATCCTCCTCTTCCCGATTATCTCCAACGTCACAGAATTACCAAAATCCACAACAGAATTTTTCAATTCCCGGTAAATCGCAACAAAATTCAGGAATAGGCGGAAACAATAATAATAATAATAATAATAATAATAGCAGTAGCAATAATAATAATAATAATAATAATAATATGTTGATGAAACCAGTTCTCACTAATCTTATTATTCCAAATAATCCTGCTGCACAGACATCACAGTATGTAGCAGATTCTGCTAATGCGACAACATCGGGCACATCAACCACAACGTCGAATTCTATTTCCTCGTCATCTACCCATTATCAACAAATGCGATATGCTCAAATGAGCTCTATTGACTATGCCCCTTCTACCGCTCAAGAATCATCTTCATCCCGAAGAATTAACGAATATTCAACAATTCCAATGGAAAACGATGATGAGATACTTCGATCGAGTTCAGCTTTTGAAATGAAATTAATAGAGGAAAATGCGTACTTGCAAACACGTGTTAGTGAACTAGAAAAAGAGGTTGCGTTAGAGCGTAAAGCGCAAGCTCGCAGAGAATTTTTAGAGCGAAGAGTAAATGAACTGGAAATAGAGGTATTATTTGTTCTTGTTTCTTTATTTCTTTATTTCTTTAATTTATTTATTTAATTTTTTTATTTAATTATTTAAAATAGAAAAATCTTTTGAAAAATTTATTGCTTGAGCGTGATAGTCATGCTGGTTTGACCAATGAGAAGAAGCGAAAAGCTTCCACTTTGATCGAACACACAAACTCACCTAAACATCATAAAGACGACGATGGTGTAATATAATCTATTTCGATAGTGTTCTTCATATGTTTGTTGAATAACTTAAAAAAAATTACGAAATTTGGTATTATTATTATTCCTATATGATCCACACGTTTTTCCTCCCTCTCTAATCTAACATCGAAATATATATCTATATATATATTCATGTATATATGTATAGAAGTGTAATTAGTGTTGTGAATTGGAAAATATTACTAGATCCATTCCCCTCAACCTTCAAACTAAACGTTTTCTCGTCGCCCTTATTGGCAAATTTCAACAATGAAGTTGGTCATCTAAATCAAGGATGATTATGATGACGGGTGATGCAATAACGATTCTTTCATACTGTATAATATCTTCTCCCCCCCCCCCCCCCCCCTTTTTTTTTAAATTTGCGACAAGATTTTTGAAGTATATGAGCATCAAACTTTATGAAAACTTTTTCTTATTCTTTTTTTTCCTATATGACAAGTTGATAAGAATCCCTAATACATAAGCATGCAATACAAATAATAAAAAATATTTTAAAATTATATTTAGAATTGGCTAGTGTTAATGCTGACATTTATTTATTAGCGTTAGACAAACACTTTTAATCACATGATTATTGTAATTGAAGTTGGCGTAAACTACTCTCGACAGACAAAGTGGCAAACACAGCCTCCTATTTTTATTCTTTGCCCCGATATACTCGCAGGCATTCGTTCTTGCAACAATAAAAATCAAAAATTATAATAATATAATAATATAATAATATAAAATACTTTTAAAAAAAAATGAGTAAAGACGACGAATATGATTATCTTTTTAAAGGTATTTGATAACGGGTTCAAGGGATGAGAATGTTTGGGGGAGAACGCAATCGTTGTGTTGACCTTTTTGCCAGTCGGCTTTATCATCTGATGATTTCTCATCTTTATTGTAATTTTTGAGTCTTTGTTTGAAACCATGAACTGAATGTGAACATTTATTATTAAATAATTGCAATATATTTTCCTGCATTCAAATCATTATTCGTGCATTCCTTTAGAATTTTCTTTCACAAATTCAGTAATACATTTTCAACAAAATTCTGCTGATTTTCTTATTAATAGTTGTTTTGATTGGTGATTCGGGTGTTGGCAAATCAAATTTGCTTTCACGATTCACACGTAATGAATTCAATTTGGAGTCCAAGTCAACTATCGGCGTCGAGTTTGCGACCAGAAGTATTCAAGTAGATAATAAAACAATTAAAGCACAGATCTGGGATACTGGTAAATTTTTATTATTATCTTGAGCATTTTATAATATTCGTCATTATTTAAAATCCCTTCATACCTTTTGTCAGCTGGTCAGGAACGTTATAGAGCTATTACAAGCGCGTAAGTTACCATTTCTCATAGATTGGTTTATCCATCGTAAAGAAGATTATACATGTTGGTTTTTTAAGCGAGTTTTTATTGATATTGATTACCCTTGGTTTCTTCTTTAGATATTATCGTGGAGCCGTTGGCGCTTTACTTGTCTATGATATTGCAAAACATGTCACATATGAAAATGTCAACCGTTGGTTGAAAGAATTAAGAGATCATGCTGATAGTAATATTGTCATTATGCTTGTTGGAAACAAAAGTGATTTAAGACATTTGAGGGCAGTCCCGACTGATGAAGCTAAAGCGTTTGCTGGTAATATGTGCTATATCAATTTGTGTATTTTAAACTAAAAAATTAAACGTCGATAATTTTATTAATATTATTATTATTATTATTTTTAAACTAAAAAATTAAACGTCGATAATTTTATTAATATTATTATTATTATTATTTGAACAGCTGAAAACAATCTCTCCTTCATTGAAACTTCTGCATTGGATGCTAGTAATGTAGAACTTGCTTTCCAAAATATCCTGACGGGTAATTAGTTAAATTATAAAATAATTTATCTAGTTCCATTTTTTAATATCTTCTATTCTTCTATTCCTCTATATAGAAATTTACCGTATTGTTTCCAACAAGGCGCTCGAAAACAATAGTGGTGACGTTGCCAGGCCAACTGCTGGTGAAACAATTCAGGTTACTACCTTGCCTGATGATTCTAAAAATCAAGCCGGTAAATGTTGTTAAAACAAATAGATTTTCCGGTGAAAAACTTGTCATATTTTTTTTTATTTGTTTGGGTTTTATGTACACATATACATACATACATACATGCACACACGTGTGTATTTCGTCGTTTTGTAACATTTGTGTAATGATATTTAATATTTGGATTTTTGGGTATTAATAATTTCCTGGCAGTGAACAATATTATTATCGTTATGTTTTGTTAAGAAATCCGATAATATAGACCATATTTTAATAAAATCAAAAGCTTCAACTATAATACATATTTCGAATGCCGAATCCAAGGACATGTAATGCATATTTACGTGATCAAGTCGACAAAATATTATTTTCTGATCCCCGGACGCAATGAATGCCATTTTTCATCAAGGGATTGAAACTATTAATCCTCGCGAGAATCATTAATAAATTTTTGCATTAAAGTATAACTCCGCACATTGTGCAAGACAATTCGCTCGATGTTAGCCAAATAAATTTTGATAGAAACATCGAACACTTTCTGTTTATATTCCTTTATTCTTACCACAACCAACAGCTGCCTTCTGCCAGTCATTAGAGTGAATATGTTTTATTAATGCTATTAATACTATCACCACCAGTAAAAACAAATAGAGATAAGAGAGAAGCTGCAACAAGCGTCGTAAAAACCCTTTCGCTTCTGTCCAACTCTTGAACACTGGTCAACACTTGGTCAGCTAGCTCACTTTCTTTGATATTTTAACCGACGACTGACAGACTTTCCAACCGCTCACACAACTAGACTTCTAATATATCATTTAAAATATAATATATTTTACTTATTTACATGTATTTATCATTACATACTTTCTAGATATATTAGTAAATATCGGTAGCAGTAACATAGACTTTTCGCCTACACCACGAATTAGAGTTTCCAATGATGGAACAATTTCGCCGTCTAATCGGCGCTCTTTATATCTTGCTAATAATCAGTCACCGGCAGAGTTAAAACGAAAATTACAAGAACAATTATCTGATAGAACTAATCAAATTCAGGCTACTGCTGAGTATGGTCAAGCCTTGGTACAACAAAAGGAATTGATTGAACAACGAATACGCGAACTTGATGAAGCACAGGGTGACGTGATCTGGCCTAGCTTCATTTTATTCGAATTCGACACCAACATCTGTGTTGGATCAAGCATTAACTCCAGACACTGCACCAGCTTCACGCTCCAAAGATCGTAGAAATAGGAATCATAACAGAACAAATGATATTGTGTTTACAGCATAGATTGGACAGAATTTGTTAAAAGAAGTGAAGCGATTGCAGACACTTTTAGCACAAAAAGAAGAAAAAATTAAAGAATTAGAATATGAAAAAGCTGAATTGGAACGTGTTATCGAAATTGATAATAATATTTTTGGATATTATCGTTGTTTTGTTAAGAAATCCGATAATATAGACCATATTTTTAACAAAATCAAAAACTTCAACCATAAATATTGGCTAAAAATATACTAAAAAAAAAAAATATGAATGCCATTTTTCATCAAGGGTTTTTGAATTGTTAGCCCTCGCGGGAATCATCAATAAATTTTTTGCATTGAAATGTAACACTCGAACCACTCGCACATTGTGCAAGTCAAATTCGCTCGATGTTAGCCACATAAATTTTGCGGAAGTTTATAGAATTTCTAACACAGTCTGTTTGTCTTCTAACTATTTTTATTCTTACCACATTTTATTGCAACCAGCAGATTTACCGACCTTTGCTGTCTGTCAGTCATTTATTTGAATACTCCATATATTTTCTTTTATTACTATTATTAATACTATCACTACTAGTAAACAAACGAAAAGATAAGAGAGCAGCTGCAACAAGCGTCGTAAAAGCCCTTTCTTTTCTGTTGACAATGTTGATGACCAACTCTTGAGCACCCTTTTTCTATACCCTACTCTTCTATCCTTGCTGTTCAGCATAGGTTCAATTCTTGCACCATTGACTGGTCAACACTTGGTCAACTCACTCTCTTTAATATAATCGACGACCGACAGACTTTCCAACCGACCACACAACCAGACGTCTAATATTCACATTCTTTCGTTCGCTTTATTTAATATTTACAATATTTAGAATATTTATATATATACATTAGTTACCCGCCATCAAATCAACCTCATCTCCCTCTCTCTGATTTCTCTTATATAAATTTTATAAACAATACATTTATCCCAGACAATCTACAAAAGTGTGATTTATAAATATATATATAGTAATACATATTTTATTTATTTATTTATCATTTATTATAACCAACTTACTTTCTAGATATATTAGTAAATAATGGCAAATATCAGTAGCAGTAACATAGACATTTCGCCTACACCACGAATTAGAGTTTCCAATGATGGAACAATTTCGCCGTCTAATCGGCGCTCTTTATATCTTGCTAATAATCAGTCACCGGCAGAGTTAAAACGAAAATTACAAGAACAATTATCTGATAGAACTAATCAAATTCAGGCTACTGCTGAGTATGGTCAAGCCTTGGTACAACAAAAGGAATTGATTGAACAACGAATACGCGAACTCGATGAAGCACAGGGTGACGTGATCTCACCGGAACTACAGAATAAACTTGCACAACTTGAAAAAGAAGCGATGTCTCTTGATGCGGACACGCGTAATGTGTTCTTGAATGCTGCATCAGCATCTTCGGTGAGTTTTGATATTCTTTTTTCGGATAAAATTTGAGAAACAATTTATTTATTACAATCATATGCAACAGGCGACCAACAATAATAGCGCATCTGGCCTAGCTTCGCTTTCTTCGAGTCCGATACCAACATCTGTGTTGGATCAAGCATTAACTCCAGACACTGCACCAGCTTCACGCTCCAAAGATCGTAGAAATAGGAATAATAACAGAACAAATGATATTGAGTTTGCAGCAGAGATTGGACAGAATTTGTTAAAAGAAGTGAAGCGATTGCAGGCACTTGTATCAACAAAAGAAGAAAAAATTAAAGAATTAGAATATGAAAAAGCTGAGTTGGAACGTGTTATCGAAATGCTTAATAAACAATTACGCGCCAAAGAAGAATCTGAAGGTATGATTGATTTTGTTTTTCGATCTAAAATTTATTATTTGTAAAATTTCAATCTTTAATGAAATTTTTTCGTAAAAATCAGATACCTTAAAGACTCAAGTATGGGAGCTCGAATTAAAAGTACAAAGCCTCGATCAAGAGAAGGAAACTCAAACATTTGAAGTATCACGACTTCGTAAAGAAATACAACTCCAGGAGAAAAAACTTAGCCAGTCCACTGATTTGCTCGAACAAGTTAAAGCTCGGGAAGTCAAACTCAGTACTGAACTTGCTGATTCAAAGACGAAATATGAGCGTCAAGTACGATCTCATAAGAAAGCATATAATGATTTGAAAAAAGAGAATCAAGTAATCTCACAAGCACTTGACGATACAAAACAAGATGTTGTGAACCTTAAAGCAAAGCTTAAACGAAAAGATGAAATGGCAACTCCAACAACTACCAAAAATTTGCCAGCTGCCATTAATTTTATTCATCCATCAGAAAACTCAGCAAATTCTAGTAGTGATGAACGAGAAGAATACCCGAATGGTGAGACATTGGCTTCTATTGTCGACAAATTTGTTCCGGCTCTTAATCAAATAATTCCACAAGCAGCTGATGCTGTAAAGCAAATGTCTGATGAATATAAAGTGCTCCAAGTAAAAAATGGCAGTTTGCAAAGTGAAAATGAAGAACTGAAAAATCTTCTTAATGATCGAGAGGAAGAAATAATAAGATTACGTGATGAGAGTGCTTTTCCAAATAATGCAGTTGCTAAACCAAAACAAAAACCCCGTAAAAAAACCAGCTCTAGTTTCTTGCAAGAAGCGCTCGCGGATATAAATGAAGATGCAGTGCTTAAAAACGGTCAAGATGAGGACGAATATTATGAAAATATCTCAGATGAGGATGGTGATACACATATTAATAAGACAAATCGGCCAAATTCTGATATGTTTAAAAGTCATCCTTTGTTATCACGGAGAAGTAGAAAAAGTTCAAGTCGTTTCTCTCAGAATAAACATGTCTCTTATAATGATAATGATGTTGATGAAGAAACAGGTGAAGAAGGTGATTTCGAAGAAATCGATGAAATGATAACTGAACCAATAGTTAATGTCAGTTTAGAGGAAGCAAGAAGTAATCAAGTTCCTGAACATCAAGATCCAGAGGGTGTTAAAGCGGCTAGAGCAGAAGCCCTTGAAAACCTTACTAAATCAAATAAACAGTCCAGATCATCGCGGCGTGTATCTCGAAATTCAAAAAATATTGAATCACCTATATTTGAGGAACCAGAAACCATACAAGGATCCGAAGAGAATGATAACGTGACAAGGAGTTCCAAGAATCGAGGATCAGTGGTCCAAGAGAGGATCTCACAATATGAACATATTGCAAAAAAACCTAAACCGAATTCAATTACAAAAGAAGGCAATGACGATGACGAAGAAGAGGAGGAATATGATGATGGTTCTTCAGCAGACGAGTTTGCTTCCGCAAAGTCAGCTACATCACAGCGACAATCTACTATCTCAAGAATTGGCGCCCGAGATTCAACTTTGTCTGAAAAAAGGAATTCTGCTGCTTCACCCAAAGATGACAATAATGATAACAACGATATAGATGATCAAAATATCGATTCAGAGACTAAAAAATCATCTACTATTGCTTCTGATGATGAAAAGGATAATGTAGTTGATAATGATACCGCTGCTTACAGAAAGGGTAAACGGGAAACATTTGTTACCTCTCGTAATGTTGAGGTGCAGACTGAAAAACTTATGTACACGGAAGCTGAAATCCAAACAGATTCAATAACTGCTTTAAAATCACTCGAAGAATTGAAAAAAGGTGCTTATCGAAGTAGCACATTATCTGCTGGTAAGATTTATATTACATCCTATTGATAATTATTTCTCACTGGAAAGCTAATTTTTTTAAATAATTAAAGATATCGACGAAAGTAACAATAATATAAATCGCTTTACTCTTGACTTAACAGCCAACGCGAACCATTCCAAGACAGAAGCACAAAATGGTACCGAAAGATTGGAAGATCTTTTGCATACTGATGAATCTCAAACAATTCAAAAAGAACCTGTTCGAACTTCGGATCCGCCTCCACGTCCATCGAATGGTCCACCCCAAAATTTATTAGAAAAACAACGAGTTGCTATTGTCAATGCACGCGACGAAATTCAACATGCTGATCATTCAATAACGCCCACAATCACAAATTCGAAAGGTAAAGAGAAAGAAGATGGAGTTCGACCGGCACCTAATGTTCATCATCAGCATACTTCTAGCTCAGGTTCAATTTCTACGGGAAGCACTATCAGTTCGACAGCTTCGTCAAATGATCAACCGGCAAAACGAAATTCTAATACATCACAGGCTGATGATGGACAAACGTCATTTGGCCGTCCTCGCCTAGATCCAAGCACCGTTGAGGCAATAACTTTAACAATGATGGGTGAATTTCTGTACAAATACACAAGACGAAACTTTGGTGGTGGAACCTCTGAAAAACGGCATCAACGATTCTTTTGGGTGCATCCATACACGCGAACTTTATATTGGAGCACAAAAGATCCTGGAGGTGCTGATATGATTGATGCAAAGTCTTCAAAGAATTGTATGTATAATCAGAATTTCTGTTTATTCTATGTAAACTTTATTAATTTTCTCGTAAATCAATAATTACCTTTTATTATATAGCTATGCTTTCGATGCAGGTTGCATACATAGAATCTGTCAAACAGGTGGTAGATCATAATCCCTCGCCACCTGGACTTCATCACATGAGCTTAGTGGTAAAAACACCTGGTCGTGAGATCAAATTTACTGCACCCACGAAGGAGCGACACGAAATATGGTTTAAGGTTAGTTAGTAAACATCAGGATACTATTTGGCTTTTTTTTCAAATTCTGACGCTATTATTGAATGGACTTTTAAAATAATAAATAGGCTCTTAATTATCTTATTGAAAGAGCTGTTGACACGGAACCAGCAGACCCTTCCTCTCCTAATAGAAAGGGTTCTGATCCTTGGGAAAATCAACCAGACAGTCGTCACGTTCAGCTACATGGTAGCAGTTCTCCAAATAACAACACTCTTCGCACTGGCAATTTTCCGCAACAAGATCTAAAAAAGAAATCAAGCTTTAGTAAACTCTCGGCTCTGATTCGCCGTGATGCATCATCATCATCTAATCAACCTTCTCATTCGCCTCTTTCCCACGAACATCACACCCACGAAGATATATCATTGGATGAGACTGGCGATTTGGACAAAGAGGATTTCGAGAATGTTCGTGAATGTTGTGATGGACGGCATAACGTGACTGATTTAGCAGGCAAAAGACACCGTCGCAATTGAACTTTTATTTATTATAATCTTTCTCACTTTTATAAGGTGATTTTTGATTTTTGAGAAATTCTATATATTCTCTTATTACCTAAAATTGCACCAAAAAAAAAAATAGATATTAATAAATTACTATCAAACTAGCATTTTTTTTGGATTGATTGTAATAAAAGTAATTTAAATATTGTTATTTATTGTTTATTGTATTTTCAAACTTTTTATTATTATTTTTTAATAGATGCTATATATATATATATAATATTACAATTTTGTATTTATTTTTAAAAAGAATTTTTTATAAATAAAAAATTCATATATATCTATCTATTAAAACTTGAAAAAATGAATTACTTTTTTAATTCTATTTTGTATTCCAAACTGGTTATTAGATGTATATTTTAGATAAAAAATAAAAATTAACATTTTTTGTATTTTACAATTGTATTAAATTATATATTTATTTCCTAAATGGGAAACATAAAGTTTTGAGTATCTCCGTACGCATTAAATTTTAACAAATAATATGTATTTATGTATGCAACAGAAATCTTGGTTTTTAGTTGAATTACGCAAAGGTGTGCTATGATAATACTCGTATAATTCAAAATAAATTTTTTCTTTTTTTGCTTTTTACCTGCATGATTTAAGTGTATATAAAAAAACCAAATTGAGCACAAATAATCGTCCATTGTTTTAAAAATTGGTTGGGTGTTGTTGATGCTTTACATTCTTTTTAAGGAGGTGATGATAATCTGACGATGAATTTAAATGTGAGGATTCAGACCAGATGTGCGAATCTGACGTAACAATTTCTTGCGAGTTTGAATTTTCCTGCTGCCTTATTGGCGAATCATTTATTGAGAGCTTGGATAATTGATTAATTATTTCTGCGACATCAGATCTTTCCATGCTTTCCATGCGATTTCGAACGGCGTAAAGTAATCTTCGTTTTGACTATGTACATAAATAAATGAATAATTTGCCATATATAATATAATCAAAGAGTGATAAATACCGATCCTTCCATTGAAATATGCTTTTTCGGTTTAACTAAAAATCGATTTGAAAGTACAGGAATAACTCGTTTATCATCTTTATAGCGACCTGGGGATAACGGCGAGCTTAATGGTGGTCGACTTCGCTCATACGGGGATAATTCTATAAGAATAAAGAATTAGAAGTTTTTTATAATATAATATGAAATTAAAAATTATCAAAACCTGATTGTCTTCGATATTTTTGTTCGATCGACATCTGATAGAAACGTCGTTGATCTCCGAACGGAGTTGTGAAAATTCTCGATGGAAAATAGATTTTACGATGCCGCGTTGGTGATATTGTAGAAGGCTGCACTCGCTGTTGTTGATGTTCCATTAATATTGATGATCTATGACGATGTTTTTCAACAGGGCGCGTGAGTGGGATTGATTTGTTTATAAGAAAAAATCCACGCAGAGCGTGTTTATTTTCTGCTACTTTGAACGATAAGTGAAGGAGTTTTTTTCTTTTTCCACAATTATGATGATGTGATGTGATGTGATGTGGAGATATATGTCATCATTAATTCAGCGAGAATATTATATTGACTCACGCGTTTTCTTCGACCAGTTTGATTTTATTGGGATTCTTTACGGTTGTGACATGGTTGTGTATTAACATGAACAATATTAAGAATGTAATTGAAACAATGAAGGTTATGCATGTTAAAGAATTCCATAAAGTTTCCCAAGATAGGAGCTTTGTATCTGGTGAGGAGACACTGCTCACGAATTCTTGTCCACGACTATTATTGTGAAATTGCATTATTTTGAGGCCCAGAATGCGAGAAAGGGAATTTTCTGTTTTTAATATTCGAATGAGATAGAATCTACCTCAGCCGAATTTATTTATTTATTTTTATCGAACCAAAAATGTCAATAGAACGCGTGTATGAAATAAGCTTATATCGCGCGTTTTGCATCATGTTTGTTTCACAACGTATCATCGGATTATCAAAAAGCAAAAACGATTAATTTTTAACTAATCTGTATTAATGAGATAAAAAAAAATAATCTCAATAATAATAAATAATAAATATTAGCTGGCTGGTAAGTTTGATGATTAGTTAAGATGATTCGACTGAACGATAAAGAAAATTTAAAATAGAAATTATTGCCATACATGAAAGAGTATCGCCTCCTTTCTTTCTCATCAGAAGCATAATCTATAAGTGACGTAACGACCACTCGTCTCACTTGGCCTCATAATTTTAACAACCTGGTATCACACACACGCAATGATCAGGGATATTAATAAAATAGTTAATGAAATAATAATTCTAGGAAAGATCATATTTGTCACCTGTCCTTTCTTAAGCCCATAATAACGGGCAATAGGATCGATTGTTTGAATTCGAGGTAACTGCGTTTCTCTTAAACGACTTTTTAATAATAATAATAATAATAATAATAATAATAATAATAATAAAGATGGTAAATATTAAAATATTATTGTCATTATTATGATGATGATGATATGCTGCTAACGACGTCAAAATCACACATATAGATATGATTATATAATATTTACTATTTTTTCAGGAGTGTTTTCTTTTCTTCATCTGTTAACACAATGTGAGTCGGGACGAGTTGATGCTCGGTTATATTCACCAAGAGTTCTGCTTCGGAAAATGAATCAATCTCATAGTACGCTTTATCTGGGACTCTATCCCCCTGATTCATGGATTGAATCGCCTTTTAAAAAAAGAATATCATTCGAGTATAATTATATAAAGACCAACATCAATTATTAATACGTTGTGAATAATACCTTATTCGCCGCAGCTGTCATATTACCCTGATATACGATTATTCCCCTGGTGACTTTTGTTTCGGACATCCGAGTACATATCCTACATAACAAAATATATATTGTTACTTAAATTACTCAAAGATGATGATGATAATAATCATCATCATCATCATCATCATCGATGAAATTTCATTCACAATAATTTACGTTTTCAAATACTTCACTCCAACAGGTTTCTCTGTAGGAAAAGTAACAAGTAATTGCTCGGTAGGATCATCTCTCTTTTGAACTTGAAACATCATTTTTTCCCGACTATGTTAATAGATGAAATAAAAAATGAAAAGCTTTCTTTTTCATTTTAAGGTCACTTTTTATTAATTTAGAACAGGGCATTGATTAAGTGGTACAGAAAATACATGAAGATTCTTTTGAAAAAAAAAACGACTGAAAATTCTCAAGACGCTTACTTAACAACACCACTATCCGTACATTTCTCTCTAAATGCATCCAAATCTGCAGGAATCTCGTGTTCAGCTACCACGTAACCCTAACGACAAGTCAAACATACCAGTATTAATGATATACAAAAAGCAAATCAACAACTTGCTTAGAAAGAGTAAAGTAAATAAGTACCCTGTCAGCTACCATTCTCTTGACAGTTTTGTATACACGGTAAAGACGGGCAGCTTCTTGTTCACTGCTTTCTGTAAGTAATACCGACATTCTTCTTCCTATTACTACGAATCACTTTTAGCTTCTTGTAGATTCGAAAAGGCGGTTGCGTCACTGCCAAAAAAGTATATAACTCAAAATAAAAATGTCGTGACAAATTTCTACACGCATACGAAATAATGTCGCACTTGCATCAATTATTTATTTTTTTGGAAATTGGGCAATTTGTTGCGATTCACGTGATATAGTGAATTTTACCTTGACAAAAGATCCCCATCCGACCGACCGACTCGACTGTAATGCAATGGATGCGAACGTGTTCATTACTTACATTCAGTCAGAAATTTCTTCTTGTGTTTCCTTAAACAAGATATTGGCATTTATTCTTTTTAATATTATTATTTATATTCTTATATAATATTTTTAATATATTATTATTACAAACCTTCTTACAAGGTAATTTTTGTGACTTGTGTGAAGAAGCTCCAACAATACCAACGTGATAATAACCCAACAACTTGCACTTGCATTGCAAGTCCCCTCAAAAGATAGTCATGTTTTACCAGTAAAGATCTTTTTTTCACTGCGAATAACCACTTTTTTTCCCGAATTTTCTCGTTTCTCTTTCTCCATTTCAACGCAAAGTAAATTTTTTCAACTACTTTCCTTACTTTCAAAGACTAGTACGAATAATAGTTTTGTAAATTTCCCGGTATCCACCTCGTCCGATATATACATTGGCGCTTGCAACAAAAAATTTTCACACTCTAAAAGCGAAGCCTCCCAGTTTCTTTCCGCCGTTTTCAACGCACTTTTTTCAAAAGAAAATTAGATTACACGTGACTCTTAAACCAGAACCTCCGAAAAGACGAAAATACATCAAGTATACATGGCGACTTCAACGTCAAACCATCATCTTGCCCCTCCTTCAACTTCGAACATGGGCCTTCCAATTTCCAACGGCAACGGTCTTGGTGATGTGCCTTCGCCGCCGCTTTCACCGGGCAAGCAACACCCACCACCATCACCTCGAACACACTCAAAATCTATTTTAACCATCGCATTACAGAAAGCCCAGTCAGCCGTGTTACTTGACTCTGCTAATAATGTGAGTGCAGCTTTGGCGGCATATAGACAGACTGTCAAGCTTTTGTTACAAGTAATTGATAAAGCGGCAAATGAAACTGATCGTCGAAGGCTACAACATATAGTAAGTTGAATTCCTTGTTTTATGCGAATTTTTTCTATTGATAGTTGTCGAAGCAAATGAGAATGCATGTATTCATAAATATATATGCGTCATTTAACAAAATTATCAAACTATTAATTTTATATTGATAAATTGGCTGAATTGGTGGTAAATCGAGTGCGTAAAAAAGAAGGGAAGGAAAGGGAATTTATCGAAAAATTGAAAGATAACGAAATAATGCTAACCAGAATTATTTACTTTCTTAGTATGACACATATGCGGACCGAATACGATTATTATCGACGATAGCGCCCCAGAATGAATTAGACGATAATAATGATGATGATAGTGGTGGCGGTGGTGGTCGTAATAAAGATGATGAATTTGACAACTGTGGACTTCAGAATCGTGCATCATACAAGCGGTATAGTTACAGTTCAATAGAATCAATTAATGGACCAGCATCATTATCTTACAACAACAAGATTCAAAAGAATAATTTATTTATTACGTCTTCAAAATCATCATCTTTATCATCATCAGCATCATCTTTGCATTTTCGAGACCACAGCATTGATGATGATGATGATAATAATAATAATAAAAATAATAGTAATAACAATAACAACAGCAGCAGCAACAACAACAATAATAATAACAACAACAACGAGGGTTCAAATGGAAAGCCATTAGTGAAGGAAAGGAATATTGTTAATGGTATTGATAATATGAAATATGTAAGCATTAACGATGAATCAGAAAGTCGTCATCGTCGTAAATCAAAGAGGAATTCATCGTCAACTATCAACTTAAATGGTGTCATCCACCGTAATGATGACCATGACAATAATAATGATTCAATAAAATCAGGAACAATAAAATCATCAATAGATAATGTTAAAAATCATCCTCATAATAATACTGATATTGATAATTCGTTATTGGCGTTATCACCAAATAATCACAAAAGACGTACACACAAGTCAAACTCCTCAACTTCTACAACAAAATCATGGAACTCTTCCCGAATGTCTCTCATATCTGATAAGACGACGCCACCAGGATCAGATTATGAATCAGCAATTGAAAAAAGAGAGTCAATTGGAGAATCGACAGAATCCGTAGAAGCTTTGAATAGCTCTGACGATACTGCTTCGAGCACTGATGATGCTACTACAAGTAATAATGACAACAACAACAATACGCGTAAAAATATCCATAAAAATTCATTATCATCTTCATCTTCTTCATCCTTACCGATATCAATGGATAATAATCGATCTACAGCAGCAACGGTAACGGCAACAATGGCCGGTCCTATACATAATAGTAGTTTAACAAAAGACAATTCATCATTACCTTCATCCTCTTCATCAAAAAAATCACCTAAATCATTATTATTGTTATCAACGCGTTCGAAATCACCCGATAAAATGACATCCATAAAAAAGAATGATAAAAATATATCAAAAAAATCCAAATCACCTGAATTCATATCATCATCGTTGTCAAAAAATATCAATACTTCAGATAATAACAAACAAGATGAATCATTATCAATAAAATTGAATAATATCACTCCTCCTAATGATACTGCTGCATCTATGAAAAGTCAGAAGACAATAACAACATCGTCGCCATCTTTTAACAGCCGACGTCCATCTCCACTTTCATTAACACAAGAGAACGACAGTTATAATTCTCGAACTATTCCTGTTCTTGGGGATACAGCGTCATCAAATCCTTTAGCTTCATCTTCTGTCACGACAACAACTACCAATCCTCATAATGCCACTACTACCCAATCATTAGGCTTAATAGGCGCTGTTCCACCACGAAGAGCTGCGTCGAATCCTGGTCAACCTCGGAAAAATAGTACATTTCGATTTCTTCAAAATAATGCAATTACTAATAACCCTAACTTACAACCATCTTCACCCTCGTTATCATCGTCACCGTCATCGACAATTTGGAATCCAATACCTGGAACTCCAAACTCACCTTGGTTTAATATACAATCACCTGCTCTACACTCCATAAATAGTCCAATGTTTAGTCCAGCAACAAATAATCGTTCTGACTCCACATTATCAGCAAAGTCAATGGATACTGCTACTGCTACGGCGACGGCTACAGCTACTAGCTATTCAATAGACTCAAATCAAATGTTATCCGATGACGTTTTGGGTCAACCAAATAAAACAGGTTTACCTGAACCACCACCGACCGATGTGCATCTAAGACCATTCTGGTTAATGCGGACATTAGAACGTACAATGACAACTGGTGGCTACTTAACAAAGAAATTATTTGTACCCAATAATATGTGGGTGCAAGCAAATGTTAAATTAGCATCGGTGGAAACTAAAGTTTCTAGTTGTGAATTAATTCATAACTGTCTGGTGAGATTAGAAAAAACGACTATTGATGATTTGGATTCACTAGTAAAGGTTCGCGTCTTCATTTATATTTATATTAAATTAAATGCATACATTATTTTGATCATTATTATTGATTATTATTATTATGATAATGATGAATAGGAATTGGATTCAATTGAAACTGACTTTGATGGAATCCAAAATTCATTAGCTCGAAAATTGAGCTATGTTGAATCGACAAATGGAAAAAGTCGTCAAAACACAGCTCTTATGAACTGGGGATCAAAATTATCACAACGACTTGATCGCATGGGTATGGGAAATGTTGCTAATCGAAGTGAAGAGGCAAATAATTATGTGGAGATGTTATTAAAAGTGTTTCAAAACGCTCATGTTGTTGGTAAGTTGTTATTATTATTATTATTATTATTATTATTATTATTATTATT